GCCCGGATTAAAACCGTACTCTTGGGATTACTTTAGGGCTATTAACTCATGAGTACCTTCCCTTAGTGCGCACTATAGTGTAGGGAGCTCTCTATCTCCCGTACTAGAACCAAGTCCTAGCAAGTCAAGTTCTTGATGATATCCCAAGTTTCCAAAATCAACAAGTTGAGCAACAAGTCATGACATATGATAAAACTCAAAAGCTCCATGAAATACATGACTAAATCATTAGAACAATAAGATAGAAATTAATTAAACTAATTAATTAATTTCTCTAGATTTTAAGAGTTATTCAAATGATCCCAAATTAAAATATAACAAGGATAAGTCATGGCCATGCCGTATATCAAGTTTAAAATGGAATATAAGTAAGGTACAATTAAGTAGAATTTAAACCAAATTAAATCTCTAGATTTAAAAGCTCATTTAAATCATGCCAAATCAATATACAACAAAGATCAAGTCATGGTCACGCCATATACCAAGTCTAAAGTGAGTTATATGCAAGCTACTATTAATCATTAATTTCTCATTTTAATTAAAAGACATGCATACAACTTATACATTACTACAAAAGCAACTAATTCATTTAGATAATAAACTAGAACACCCCCTACCTCAATAGAGAATTGAATCTCTATAATCCAAAGCAACCAAGCTTACAATGGAAAACAAAACTAGGGTTTTGTAAAGAAGAGTGAGAGGAAGTAAAAGTATTACAAGCTTAAAGATCTAAGATGAGTGGAAGGAGGCCAAAATGAAGTCAAAAGCTCTAAGCCAAGTTTTTCCTTCAATGGAGTCTAGGTTCGGATGAGAGCAAAGGGAATGTAGATGAGATCAAATGAAAAGTGGTGGGTGGAGGATCTAGTATTCCTCCACTCACTAGGTGTTCTTGTACTATCTCTCACACACACACAATGCAAGACTCAATTTGGTGCCTACATTTGTCACCAATCTATGGCTTATTTCTAGGCTTAATCCTAAGTCTATACTTGTCAACCATCCAAGCCAATAAGTGCACCAATTCTAGGCAAACAAGTGGGTGAATATCCACCCTCCACATGTCACAAGATAATGCTTCTAAGTAACTCCACCCCAATGCCAACAAGTGGCTCATGAGAGTGTGACACTTGTCACACTTTCCAAAAATTATAAAAAGGTCGTTTTCTAAAATATCTTCCAAATTAAATTGCAAGATGGTCCCTAAGATGAAAAATAATTATTTTACATAATTACACTAAAACCCCAAAATCAAGAATGTTTCCAAGAAGGTATGCATCCATGCCCTTTACGAAAAAAAGTAAGCAACTAACATGTTTTTCTACGAAAATAAAAATACAGATATCATGGAAATCAAATATCATGAATGCATGTAAAGCCGGAATCAAATCCAAGCACGAAAAGTGAGGTTATGCAAGGAAAAATGATAAACGGGAAAAAGACAAAATAAAGGACGAAAAAAGAAATTACCGAAAAAAGAAAGGAAGGAAAATGACCGGGTCATTACAACGAAAATGGGGAAAAAAGGGTTTTTTTTTTTGGTGTTTCTCTCTCTACTCACATTATATATGCACACAACAATATACTCATCCTCCACCACTCATTTTTTACCCCACCAAGTCAATAAGTCAAAGAATGGGTCCCACAACTAAACCAAAATCTACTAAAACCCCAATGCAACAAGTAAACACACATATGTATTGGACACTTGGTAAATGTTATGAATGATAAAATGACCCAATGAAATAAAAGAATAGTGCCAGAAAAAATTCTTGAGTATTTGAGCCGACCCGTGTGATACTCCCCAATTTCCGAACACGGGATGATCAAATCATCACCCATAGATCGGGAGATATTAAACAATTATTAATTAAAACAAGCACATAATACAAATGGATAAATAATAAAATAAAGAATAACGCTGAATGGAAACTATATAACAAATAGTAATCTTCTGATACCAATACTCTGAATAAATCTAATAATAAATATTTTTCCACAATCAACGCAAATCTGCAAATTACAATTCGAGAATCCATAAATTTAGGACCCCTAAATAATAAATCCATTACTGGGAATAATGAATATAAAAGTCTAATGAATCTATTAAATGAAGATAGTATCCTACGTCGATGACTCCGAAAGAGTGGATATGAATGATCTTTGATCTGCACGAACGACCTCTAGGATTGGTACTGTGGAGGACCTAAAAAATAAAAGTGTGGGTCAAACCCACGAATAAGTCATTTCTACTACAACTCAATCAGAGAACCAATAAGCGATACATCCCTAGCCAAACTCATGCAATAGCTACATAATCGATACATAAATATACACACTAAGATACTCACTGGGATACAAGGTAGTCTTAATCGGATAGAGGGTGTCTTATGAAAAATCACACATGAGGTGGTCAAGAGTCCTTTGTACTACTAGGCCGACACATATCCTATATCCAGCTACTCGTCTCTGGTAATATGCGCCTCAGTCCTAACCACTGATCTCGAGACCCTAAGCTCGTACCAGGGCTCACATATAAATATATAATATCATCATCAACAAAGCCATATCTAACAATAGCACAATGTAGCGTGTCTCGATTTATTAGTCAGTCCACCTACTCATCAAAATATCCAACCATATCTAACAATGGCACAAAATATCAAGGACCCTAACTTATTAGCTATCTCAATGATCCTATCTCAAACATATATTGAATCCATCAAACCATATTTAACAACGGTAAACACATATAATTATAGCCACAAAACATGTTTGTAAATCATAAATATATCAACAACTATGATTATAGTTATAAATCCAACAAATACATTTAATTACACAAATTAAAAATCATGCAAGATTAATCTTATAACTTATTAGTTAATTTAATCTTTTCCATCAATCATGAAATATAAGAGTATAATACAATTATAGGCATTTAAATCATATAGCACTGTTCCTAAGGCTTTAGGACATGTTTAGAATTTAATAAAATCAATTCGGGGCCATTCGGAACAATTTTGGAAAAAACGTGGTCCTAGAGCTTGAGCACAGCATCATTGTGTTCGAACACAACCCCCAGTGCTCGAGCACTAGTTCACAGAATAGCCCAGTGTTCGAGCACAAACCCCTGTGCTCGAGCACTGGTTCACGAGACTAGTTCCGCAAGTCTGTTTTGAGTCTGAAAATCCATCATTACGGGTCCTAAATCATACATCTATGTTACAATTGATTTCCATAATTAATACAAAGCAATTATACATGATTAAAGCTATTAAAACCAGGTTTTTATGCATTAATTTGAAAGACCCAACTTTGTATACATACATATATATACCCATATACAAGTTAATTATAATCCTATTTCAGCTTAAGAACATGTTTAATTCCTCTGTTTAAATTCCCTAAAGGCAAGCTAATGATGCATAGTAGAATACAGAGCTTTCCTTTAAGATTTTTGAATCAAAAACCAACTATTCCAACTTCGGTGTCCTTCTCTAACTCTGGCAACTTTTTCGGTTGTCTTCTTACTTCTCTCTTTCTCTCTCTCTCTCCCCTTGTGCCACAACCTCTTTTCTTCTTTTCTCAAAACTCCCATATCAATAAAACCCCTCTATTGTAACTAACATTTATATATATATATATATATATATATATATATATATATAAGCTACCCATATAACCCTACTCCTAATTCTAATTGGATTAATAAATAATTAATATAATGATATAATATACATAAAATAAATACATACATATATATACACACAAATAATTATATATATTTACACACATGGGCCAGTAGTCTTCCACCCAGCTTCCTCCTTCTTAGCCCAACATCATAATCGATTAACTTAATCCAACTAATTTAAAAATAAAATAAAATAAAAAACCCAACCCAATAAATAAACAATTAACAACTATTAAACTAATACAATTAAATTAACATGTTAAATTGAATAAACAATTGGCAATTGAATTAAATAAATAATTATAATTAAATAATTAATTCAAAAAAAATAATTTAATTAAATAAAATAAATGCTCTGAAAATTAATGGTATTACAACTTGGGCCCAGACAGCCTGAACACCAAGATGAACGAGAAAAAAAAATAGAAAAAAATGAAAAATTAAAACCGATCCTCACAAATTATGATCCTTCAAAGGCCTAAAGTCAAGGCAAAAAAAACTAAAAATAGAATGAGCTAGCAGGATGCCACATATATGCACAAAATTAGGTTATGAAAAAAAAAGAAAAAAAAACCAGTATTCTACTAACAACACAGATATTAGACAATATTTCACCACCAATTTTCTCAACACCGAAACATGAAAACATGCATCGATGTACATAAAATATTAATTATCACAAGTTATTTTATTTTATTTATTTATTTTTTAATAAAAAAATATATATTGGTTTGTACCAACGGGGTCATTAGCTAAATGGTGTAATATTTCCATCTCTAAACAGAGGTGAGGGGTTTAAATCATTTAGTGAACAATGTGTAAGTTCTTAATAAAACACAAATTAGGAGACTAGGGCAATCTCCTTGTTATATAATTCAAGTAAAAAACAAATTATATATATAATTCAAATAAAACACAAATTAGGAAACTAGGGCAATCTCCTTGTTATAAGCGGAGATTATAGATGCCGCATAAGACTACCGGAGGCGAATTAGAGGCGGCAATCCCAGAAGACAAAATAGGAAGGTAAATACTTGGCAAACCGAGACGGATCTCATTCCTTTCAAAGACCTTTTTTGTCTGCGTTTACATTCACCACTGTTACAGGAGACGCCAGCGAGCAACAAGAAACGGAGAATTTCACATAAATGTGAACAGAAGGAGAAGAATATGAAGAATTGGGCTGGAATATAGAGAGAGAATTAACGGAAGCAGAAGGACATTGTTGGAAAAATTATTGAACGTAACAAATTAGTACATTAATCCATCACGAAATTAAGAAAAATACCAAGTAGAGAAGAGAGAGATGGAAAGGGAGATACGGTGGAAGCGAGGAAGAAGATTGGGAATGGGCAGCTTTGGTGTCGTTTCATTAGCAGAGGCATATGATGAAGGTCGTTGCAATTCTCCATTGTTGATGGCTATGAAAACTGCACCACTGTCTCTCTCCTGTTCACTTCGCAAAGAAAGAGATCTTCTTCGGGAACTTGAAGGTTGTCCCTATGTCCTTCGCTGTTTCGGGGACGAAGTTTCGACTGAGAATGGAGTTGAACTGTACAATATTATGTTAGAGTATGCATCCGGAGGAAGTTTGGGTGATTGTATCCAGAGTTCCGGTAAAGGGTTAGCCGAGTATGAAGTTAGACGATACACGAAGAATATGCTTATGGGTCTCAGTTATATTCACGAGCAATGTTATGTTCACTGCGACATAAAGCCCCATAATATCCTACTTGTCGGTGAGGAGGACTCTGCAAGTTTGATTAATCCTAAGTTGAAAAGAGTTGAAAATACTGCAAAGATTGCAGATTTTGGGCTTGCCATGAAGATTGAAGAGAAAAGAAGCCCCAAGTTGAGAGGCACACCCATGTATTTGGCACCGGAGTCGGTTCGTCATCAAGAGTATCAACCTCCTTCGGATATTTGGGCACTTGGGTGCACTGTGTTAGAGTTGATTACGGGGACAACACCATGGCATTGCGAACCACATGCTGAGACTTGTGCTCTTTTGTATCGTATTGGTTTGGGAAAAACGCTGCCAGAGATTCCAAGTTGGGTGTCTGCAGAGGCAAAAGATTTTTTGAAGAAGTGTTTGGTACATGATCCGAAGTCACGATGGTCTGCGGACATGCTCTTAGGCCATCCCTTTGTTTTAACTATGGACAATACCCCTAAGGATGCTAAAGAATTAAGAAGCTGTGCAGATCATCAATTCAGAGTTCATCACTTGATCTTCTAATACAACATGCTATCAACGTTATTGGGTAGGGAAGAGAATTGCAGCAGTGTATCATCCTTTGGAATTGTTGTGGTGATAGGGACACGAATCCCTTGCTGTCAGTATGACTCATACTTTTGCTTTGGTATTTTGATCACTGTTGGATATTAGGCTGTTAATATGTATAGGGACACCAAGCCCTTGATGTTTTTCTAAGCCCCAAGGGTTGTTAGGTTTGTACAATTATTCACATATATACAAATCATTACCTTACCAGAAAAAATTATATATATATTGCTGCAGTTTGGAACATTCCTCCTCCTTAATGTTCATGACCTTATTCACATACTTAGCATATTTAGCACACACTGCATTCTGCTTTAGTTTCAGCTTTTTTGCGGCTTTATCCTTATTGTTAGTTTATTGTTGTTCTGATGGTGGTTTGTAGCTAGGTTTAGTGTATGCCTGGGCTTCATTTTCTGCTGAATTCCTGTTTGTTTTTGGAGTCTGGTTCATGATATTGTGAGTGCTTTGGATGCTTAAAATCTCTGGTTGTCAAATATTGGAAGTGCTTTTGTATATAGTTTTTTATGCCGGTTCTTCTCATTTTGATTTGTTGAATCTACTTGTCACATTGACAACTTTCATTTTGGTATATTTTTTTAAGGCTGTGAATCATTGTGCATTGGCCTTGCTCTTTGAAATTTTCATTTTAGGCTATATCAGCTGCATTTATCAGTTTGAAGTTTCTTAACCTTTGCAGTCCTTGAACATACTCTACTTTTTGCCTTAAAGCAGTTTGCAATGACCCTAAATATTGTGCTTTAATTACGAAACAGAGCTGAACAATTAACTGTAGCAGCTTCAGAAAATTCTTGTAGCAGACCAATTGAGGATCCCATTTTCTTTTCTTGAAAATCCGTTCATTTTGACATTTCCATATAGACCAGCACAGGAGAGAGCCCACACGAATATGATATTCAGAGTTCTCCACAGGAAACCACGTATCCATCAACTCGATGCGATGTACGTTGCTCCCATGATAGACCACTTGGTTGACTAAAATCACGAGTTAATCTACTTAGCTTCTACATGAATTGAGCAACAGGACAAGTTGCTTAAGCCCAAACACTTGACATGTTGCATCTGTAACAACCCTGCCGGCTTTCAACTGTTGCATAACAGGAAACCTCTGATGACAACTTTACCAGATGAAAAAAATGAACCTTCCTGAGCATTTAATCTTCCAAATATACTTCCAATACTGCATCAGAAACCTTATTAGATGATGCCTTCTAGAATCTGTAAAAAAAAAAAATGCATATTTTGTGTGTCCACCCCCCATATCACTAATACGCACCTGCGGAAAAAAAAGCTTGTTTTGTCGAAGTTAGATGTAGGATCCCCTTGAAAGAAGGAAAAGCTTTACACACTCACCATTGATTTTCACGGAATATGAACTGATATTAGGCAATTCATTACCAATTTGATCCACCTACCATCAAAACCTAATTTAGTCATTATTAATTTTCTCCACACACACAAAAACCCACTCCACTTGTCGTGTCCAGTTTTTAGGACATAAAATCAGTTTTGCACTCATGCAACACCTCTTATAACTCGTTGTAAGTCATGGTTTTTATCAGAGCAGGAATAGAGAAGAGTACAGTTATTAAAAGACTTTGTATGATATTATATTTTGCTTAATTTGGACGCGGTTTAATGCTTGAACATAAGTACCATTAGTGTGAGTTTGAGTATAAGAGCAGTCACTTTGTGAAGCACTAAAGGATAGGTTCTCTCAAGTACTCCCACCTCAGAACTCCTGCGGTAACGGAATAATGTCCCTTAATGTCCTAATCTTTTAGTACTTACTTATTTCAAGTTGTTGTGTCCAGTAGAATGTTCATGCTGTACCCTAGGAAATTCAGATACCCAAGCTTAGGATTAAAGGAGGGTTCCAGGTCTAGAGCCTTAGAAAAGCTCTCTAACTCTCATATGTTCGAACATTCATACTAACTCTCATATGTTCAAACATTCATTCTTTTCTCTGGCAACCTTCATGGGAGCCACAAAATAATGAAATGGTCCGTGGGCCAGTAAGAGGCCCACTCCTTGTTGCTGGACTTTGGTGGAGAGTTTCCTATGGAGTAATGTCACTCAAATCAAAAGTTTTAAACAAGATGATAGTTCACAAAACAGAAATACTAATTCATGTAAATTTCATATAATGTCATGTCAACAATATATGTTCATCACTTTTCTTTAGATTTTCAGTTTAATTTTTCGTTTGGACAAACATTTTCTTCATATGAAACTTCATGGCATATTAGTAGAAAAGTTATGGTTTTCTTTCCTTTTTTTTGGGCCAAGCATTTTCTTCAAAGCATTTCTTTTTTCGTGAGATAACAAAAGTGTGACAGTTGCCCTTCCTATTTATGCTTTCCAGTGTTTCAAGTTACCTGCTAAGGTATGTACTCTTCTTAGAAGCAAATTTATAAATTTTTGGTGTTCTGGTTGTGAGAATGGTGGTAATATCAAGTGGCTTAGCTGCGATAAACTGTGTGATCGAAAGTCAAAGGGTGGATTGGGTTTCAAAGATGTTGAGGCTTTTAAGCTAGCCCTTTTGGCTAAAATAATTGCTTGGGGGGTGGAAATGATAGAGGAATCTCTGTTCTTTAAATTTTTTAAACAAAAACATTTTCCATCTAAGCCATTTTCAGAAGCTGTTTGTGGCTCAAGGTCATCTTGGGAATGTTGATTTGGTCAGAAGAATTTTTAATGATAGAGGTGCTGAATTAACCCTTAAAATTCCTTTGACCTGTTGTAATGGTGTGGATAGGAAAGTTTGGGATGTTCATCTAATGGGAACTTCACTATAAAGACTGCTTATAGGCAGGAAAATTCAATTTTTTATGTGGCAAAGATGTCATGACAGGTTGCAGTCCTATGCAATCTGAAAGCTAGAGGTGGGGAAGAAGAGGAATCTACTACTCATGTTCTAAGTCACTGTGAACTTTCTAAGCTTGTTTGGAATCTAGTGCTCATGTTCTAAGTCACTGAGAATAGATTTAGGAGGAATGATTGGCATTTCAAAACAAAAGAGCTGGGATCCTTCTGATGTTCTGTTCAAGGCATCTCAAAACTTATTAAATTTTGGGAGATTTGTTCCAAGGATAGTTGCTGAAGCTTATTTACTGAATTTCATTCTCACTGGCTTCCTCTAGGTAGTGATGTGTTAAAGTTAAATATTATCAAATCAGCAAATGGGGTCTAAGCTCCAAGCGTGCACGGTGTTATAGAATGGGAAGTCTGGCCTTTGTAGCTTAGACAATATTGTAACGACCCAAAAATTTGGCATGACCTCTGCTGAAAAAGGTCCTACTACAACCTGCTGCAAAAATATAAGAAATATACAATGGCCTCACTTGGACCTTAAAATTTATCTACCCTATCCCAAAGCACTGCAATATAATCTAATTCATACACCATCTAATCCAAATGCATCGTAATTACAGTCCCAAAACATGATTTAGAGTCCTAACATATACTGAGACATTTTACAAGAGTTACTCCATGCTCATCATTATAATTACAAGGTTTCCAAACACAAAATTATACAGAACATAATTATATCATTACACCGTAAAACTTTGGTTGTAAAAACTAACAAAACGGTCTTCTAATCCAAATTAAGCTTGTGGTGGAACGCCGTCCGCCACTTTTTTTCCGTGACCTGAAAATGTTAATATAAAGGGGTGAGCAATTTGCTCAGTAGGTGATGCCTAATACACACCTCTTGTAACCCTGTGAATCCAAATAATGAATAGAAATAAAGGCAACGGGATCATGCTATGTCTGGGAAAAATACAATACAAGTTCAAGTCATAATGAAACAAATTCATGCCATGAGATGCAATGTCATGTATGTCGCTCTCCATTTTTCCAAAATCTAATCCATCACTTTTCAAACCGTTAACATAACTCATCCCTTGGTGACTTCTCTGCGACATGAGAGAAGGATTGACTACTGTCCCTAACCCTTGGTAACCCCGCGGCGTCATTTGGGGCTCAGATAGCTCAACCACGCTAGGGTTATTTCCCTAGTTCCCTCTAGGTTATACTAATACCACGGACCCGAGGGTCCCTCCTCGGCGTCCTGGTTTTTCACAAAAACCATTTGTCAAAACTTTTCCCAAACCCCCCCCCCCCCCCCCCCCTCCCCCTTTTTTTTATTTTTTCTTATTATTATTTTTCATTTCTTCCAAAACATCATTCCCATTTTTTCCCAATGAAGTACATGGATGGTTAACGCTTCATATTGTCATGATTGAATGTATTACGCCAACATTTATCATCATATAACAATTCAAGCTTAAAATACTTTACATACTTTACAAGAAATTCCCCAAAATACAACATACTTTCATTCAATGGTAATTTGGCATGGCAACTTGAAATTTAACTCATATAAGTATGCTATTTCAAGTGATATCAAATAAAACACATAATCACATATTTTATTTATAACAATTTAAAAACTTAGAGGAAAAATCAACACAAGTGGCATGTAACGACCCAAACAGGGATTTGGATTGCTAACCGGGTTCTTAACCAACCCGAGGACACACTAGGGTAAAATGGTTAATTTACATTGTGAGAGGGTAATAAGACCTTAAACTAGTCAAATGAGGTCAACAACAATTATTCTAAACATAACATTCCATGATGATTGGTGAAGTTCTATGGTCATCGGATATAAATTCCCAAAGGTACCCTTGGCCAATTCAAAGGGAATCTTGACACTATCCCACTAAAACAACTATAACTCTCTACATGAATGGAATTTTAGGATGAAGTTGGCCTCATTGGAAAGCTAACTCAAAATCCTTAAAAATGGGCTCAAGAATGACCCTATTTGGATTCCGAACAAAGAGGTTATGACCGGCCGAAGTTAAGCATTCTAAGTTGACAAATGAAGAAGGCAAAACAGTGCACTGGGGGACTTAAACTGGTTCAAG